TTTGAGACAGTGATAACACATTCCTCCATTTGTATATATTGTACAGTTTACCAATGTATTCATTCCTTTGGCTTTCAACATTTCACAACTTTCCATAGGTCAACCCAAGCAACAAGAACAGGTCATGGTAGATTGAAAGATCTCTGCTTTCAGACACTCATGTTCACATCACTTTGCCTGTTGATTTCCTGTTTTTTATTTATTTTTATTTTTATTTATTTTTCTTTTATTTTTAATCAGCAACATCAAATGGGTCTTTGGAGGGCCTGGATAACCAGGAGGGAGGGGTGTGCCAGACAAAAACCATGAAGATCCTCATGAAAGTTGGACAAGGTAAAGACCATCTGCTGTTTCATGAAATCACTTTGATCGGTCTCAATGTCCTTTTTAGCTTTCAGGCTTCTTTTAGCAGTGTAGAGCAGAGAGCCAGTCAAATCTAGTGTGGTCATTCCTCCCTTATAGTCTGAAAGCAAAGTCTGTTTTCTCTTCCTCAGCTACTGACAGATTTCTACAGAAGGAGGGTTAGCGTAATAAGATCTCTTCATTGGAGAGATCCCTAGAAGGAAAGGTCACCTGGGAGTAGTGTATTTCAGTCATTTTTATTTGTATTTTAAAAACAAAAGCCACAACTCTGCTGTTCAAAATTATTTAAAATACATGAAAAGAGGGAAGCTAATATTTCTATAGTTTGCTTGTTATGAATCCTGATTACAGAGAGGTTTTTTTGTTCATTGTCTCTTTTCACATATAGATAACCTATTGTGCAGGAAGAAAGAATTATTCTTCTAAGCAGAAGTTGGTTTAGTAGTCAGTCAACTTCCTCAGTTAAACTGAAATGTCATCTGCAAAGCTTTTCTTACTAGTCACAAGAGTCCTTATAGTTTCTGCAGATGGCCTCACAATTTAAACATCTGAAATAACTTAATATAACCATTTTGCTTTAAAAGGAAAATTATGTTCTTATATCTTCCTGTCCTTTGCATAAAGATTCTTCTGCTAAACCATTTGTGTCTCACGAGGTACTTAGAGCTGGCATGTAAGGCTCCATACCATCAAGTGCCAAAGCTGCATGAGTCGTCTTTCTCTCCCCCAGATCCCAACTCGGCAGGGCTGCCCAGGCACACGGATCCCACCAAGCGCCCTGAGCAAGAAGCTGGCACCAATGGGAAGAGTTCCACCACCAGCCCCTTTGTGAAGGACCACTCAGGTAGGTGTGGTGGGAGTCCAGGACGTCTCCTCCTTGTCCCCAAATGCATTTTACTTTACCATTAAAGTGCCAAAAAAGCAAACATTTTCATCGTGAGATGAAGCATAAGCCAGTTCTGATGCTCCGGTTGATAGTGTCTTGGAGCTGCAAGTTTTGACAACGGCTGCTCTGTCCCCTCTTCCACTCTCCTGTAGAAGTTCATTATATCTAGTGACAATATCTGTCACTCATTTACAGGAAAGTTTTTGGATAGGACATTTGCTAAGCAGCTTTACAGCGGTCAGTGCTGCCTTACATCTAGTGCTCTGGCAGACGAACGAGTCTCTACCTTTCTCTTCCCGTATAATACATTATCAAGTGGTTCTCGACAGCCATTTATAAAGTTGATTTCAAGGCATCTATAATTAATATCCTGATCTTTTAGCTGACCATATAAAGTCTACACATGGCTGATCTTTTACTAAATGCAAAGATTTATTTTTTTCTAATAATTATCCAAACAAAATAAACAGATGATTCCAAACAAATTTCTTCAGAATAGAATGCATTGCATTTGTTAGGTGAACAAGAAAAAACCTAACTCTTAGGACTGAAGGTGTCTAGAAGAAAATTCAGTGAATTGGGAATGCTACAAAAGCAAAACTTGCTGACGGGTGGTTCTGGGTTTCCTGAAAAAGGCTGCAAGTTTTCCTTGCTAGCTCTGTCATTAGTTACTGGGCTAATGAATCTTTGATGAAGTGGTCACTAGGTAGGCTTCGCTTATTCCTACAGAGGCTCTGGTAGGAAGATTAAACAATTATGTGAATGTAGCATCTGTATCAGTCTTCCATTGTGAGTGAGCATCAAGAAAGGGAAATTGGTTCAAACTTTCAAGAGAGAAAGTATCAAGTAAGCACTTGTTTAATTTTTGTGACAAATAATATGGTGGTGTGATGGCACCAAATATTCAACAGACTATTCAGCACGTGAGCTTTTCCTGACTACCAAACTCATGGTATTGTTTTCTTTTAATTAAATGTAAGTTAATACAAACAGGTACATGCTGTAGCTATTTTGCCTGTCTCCCACACTGCCTCAAGCTCCTTTGTTTCATGTGCAAGCAAGAGAAGTCCACGTAAAGAGGTACTAAGGATAGTTTAACTTAAATCAATATGCAAAAGATAAAATAGCAGAGGGAACAGTGTGACACTGAATAGTAACAGTTGTTCTGAGAATTGTCATTTCCTTGTGTTATATTCAATTCCAGTGCTATCTCACCCCTCTCTTGTGTCTGGGGCTGGCCAGCATCTGTTAAAAGATGCAGTGTGCATCAAAGGCTGCCTTGTCAGTGCCAGTCCTCGCCACTGATGGATGATGATGTATGGAACAGAGTGGTTTGGGAGCAGCACAAAAGTGAGACCAACAGACACAAAGTCTTGTTTAATATTGATTGCTGACTTCGGCTATTTGCATCTAACAGGGTAATTGGTTTGTCAAACTTTAGCTGTCAGTTGATTCTTCTAGTGTTGCTTACTCTACACATTTTTAAGCAACGTAAACGGGTTGCAGGATGGCAATAACTTTTGTCTATTGTATTTCCATTCTTTCCAGGATCTAGCACAGATGGCAGTAAGGCTGGGCATTCCAGTATACTGGGTTCAGAGGTGGCCTTATTTGCAGGGATTGCATCAGGGTGCATCATTTTCATCGTCATCATCATCACTTTGGTGGTTCTTTTGTTGAAGTACCGGAGAAGACACAGGAAGCATTCCCCGCAACACACGACAACTCTATCACTTAGTACATTAGCCACCCCAAAACGCAGTGGCAACAACAATGGTTCTGAGCCCAGTGACATTATCATTCCTCTAAGGACTGCAGACAGTGTCTTTTGCCCCCACTATGAAAAGGTCAGCGGCGACTATGGACATCCGGTGTACATAGTTCAAGAGATGCCTCCTCAGAGTCCAGCAAACATTTATTACAAGGTCTGAAAACACACGACCATCTCTGTGGTACAGTTGAGTCGTAGAGGAAACTCACTGGTCAAATGCTTTCTGTTGGGGTTTGTGATGATGCCTGGTGCGCTAGCATTGACTTAAGCACAGGGGGGAGAAAGCAACAGCTCTTTCTCCAGGAACCAACGCGAGCTGGACAGCTTACCTAGTCTGTAGAATTCCTATCTCAGTGAATAAGTATTCACTAAAAGCTGGAAGACTTTTATGTAGAAGATGCCCATTCTGATTGCTGTACTCTTGTTACATTCATCATCCTCAAAGCCATGTGCTGCGGGCGTTCAGGCATGTACAAAAGCCAAGGGAAGATGGAGCAATCCGTGGATGTTAATAGCTCTAGGCATCCTGGGATGGTGCTCTAGGATATATCAACCTTAAAATGCAATCTTCTGACTTTTGTGTGTCTCTCTCAGTGCATACTGGATTTGTCACACAGACCTTGGTGTCTAAGTAAGACTTGTTAAAGTTCTCTCACTTTTAGTCCGTCACTGTTCCATTTGTTTCTGTTATCCAGGGCTCTGCCATCCTTCACATAAGATTTCCTTTCACTCCACCTCCTGAATCACTAATGGAACATTAATGTTTGGAGATCCGCACTCCATCCATCTGCTACAGCAGCCTCACTCGAATGGGTAATGCATTTATAAAAATTGTGTTTGATAGTAAGGAGCCTTCCAGCCAAATAGTAAGGCTGTCAACAAAGTCAAGAGCAGGACTGGGTGGTGGAGGGAAGGGCTGATTGCAGTTAAATATTACTGCCTCAAAAATAGAAGCTGAGAAGTAAAAAAAATACATTTAGGTAGCACAGCACTTTGGTATGCTAAGTTTTAAGAGGCAAGTAGGAAACACAATAACATGCACAGTGGATTAAGGCTGCATTTGAAGGAATTCTTGGTTATCAAATACCAGTGTGCAGAAAAAAATAGAACCTTCGATACAGTAGAACAGAGGGGTATTGTTAGTAAGTGAACAAGCCTGGAGAAGACAAGACAATAGCAGGCCGCTGAGGATTATATTAGGGCAGGGCTGATGTGGTACTGGCAATAAGATACACAGCTTTGAAGCTGTAGGGAAAACATAGTCTGCTTTGGGTGACTTTTAAGCAGACTCAGCTGCTATACTATCAGATTATACTAAACACAGGGAAAGCATTTAAGAAAATAGCAGAGAGCCAAGTCTGACCAAGAAGATTATAAGCCAACGGGTCAAATGAGCTAACTCTATCACTGGTGAAGTTGTGGAAAAGAAAACAAAAAAGCAACAAACCACAAAACCTTTCTCATCTCTAAAAGTAAGGCAGAATTTCTTTCTGACTGACCCTTTTGGCACTTTGGCTTATTGTTGTGCTGTCCCTGCACAGTGAGTGTAGGTACTGTGACTGACACAGCCGTTCATTGGTGCTCTGTTGTAAAGTGAAAGCACACATGGCAAACTTCTTTCAGTCCATAAGAATAAAATAAATTATGACACTGAGATGGAGAAGGAAAATATGTCTTATTTATAATAGGTGTATAGAACACAAGGGATATAAAGTGAGATTTTTTCTTTTGTTCATTTTTTCTTACTTTTTATTTTGGTTTGGTTTTTTTACTAATATATTTTGAGATTGCACAGAATCTACACCAGAAGATGTGAAATTCATTTGCGGCAAGTACATAGTCTTAACTTGTTATCATTTTACATATATAAATGTGTGTGTATATAAGTATTTACACACATATATATGTTTATATATGCATACATATGCATATATATTTATGCATACGCACACTTTTTTTTAAAAAATAAACTACTTCTGGGAAAAAAAAATCAGCCATCCAAAAATAGCAATGGGAGCACATTTAAAAAAATAAAAATTCCAAAGCATCTCATAAAAGAAAAATAGGAAATGTAAGGCCCAAAATATCAAGAAGTCAGTGTTACTGCATCACGTATTTAACAGCGAGAAGGTGTGCCGGCATTTATTTTCTGTGTTGTGATTTCCCTTGCCTTACAGGCTGATGTGTTCTGTAGATTTTGTTGAGGTTCGTAGAGGGAGGTTTCAGGTTAAAGTTTTCTCTTTAGCATGGCTGTTCCCCTAAAGCTCCCACCCTGGGGAGGAAATAAAAAAACTCTACTTTTATATGTGCTATGCAAATAGACATTTCTAACATAGTGATGTTACTATGGTAACACTTTGCTTTCTGATTTGGAAAGAAAATGTAGCAACAGCATTTTAGGGTTCTCAGACGTGCGGTGAGCCCCTGGAAATAAAAAAAGAAAAGAAAAAAATCTGTTATAGAAATGATCACTCTGTTTTCTGAACCTGAGGATTATGTTGAGATGTTGGTCCAAAAGAGAGAAACAAAAACAAAAAAAATCTCAACCCATGGTTCTGTGGAAGGTTACCATGGTGACTAACTACAGTACATATGTAATTCTTTTCAACAACCTTTCCTTTCTGTGAATCCATCCATACAAGGTTCTCTTGTAAGTCATTAAGATTTTATTTTGGGGGAGGGGGAGGAAGGGAAAAGATGGGTTTACTGATACTGATTTTTATTAAATCATATCTGTGCTTTGTCAGTTGGCCACATTCTAGTTGCATACTAAACTGTGAAAAAAATAATCAGATTAATTGCTCAAGAGCAACCTGCAACCAACTGAAAAAAATGTACTGTGCGTTTGTTTTGTGTCTGGTGCAGAATTATGACAATCTACCAACTGTTCCTTTCTTTGACGTTGGTCCAGCTTTGAAAAATTACTGTAAATGCCTTGCTTGTGTGATCATCCCTAGTCACCTGAATTGGAATTTGCACCATCATGTCTAAGTGAAGATGCTGTAAATAGGTTCAGATTTACTGTATATGGATTTGGGGTGTTACAGTAGCCTTATTCACCTTTTTAAATAAGTAAAAAAACCACATGAAAACAAGACAAAAAAGGCTTTTCTTAACCAGATTGTGTATATAGAGCAATGTTGGTTTTTTATAAAGTCTGAGCAAGATGTTTTGTATAAAATTTGAATTTTGCAATGTATTTAGCTACAGCTTGTTTAAAGGCAGTGTCATTCCCCTTTGCACTGTATTGAGGAAAAAATGATATAAAAGGTTGCCAAATTGCCGCATATTTGTGCTGAAATTGTGTACCATGAATATTTATTTAAGAATTTCTTTGTCCAGTTTGTAAGTAACACAGTATTATGCTTGAGTTATAAATATTCTTCTTTCCTTTTTTTTTTTTTTTGTTTTGTTTGTTTTTGGTTTTGTTTGTTTGTTTTGTTCTGTATTAAAACTAGCCGGTCATAAGTTTGAAATCTGCTTTAGTTCCACACTGCAATTAGTTCCCAGAAAATGGAAATTATGAAAATCACATTCCACGTCTGTTTCAAACTGAATTTGTTCTTAAAAAATAAAATATTTTTTTCCTATGGAAACCTTGCCTTCTAAGTATTTTCTTCTTTTGTTTTGCAGTTTTTTTCTTTTTTAAAAGATTAAAATAAATAAGAAAGCCACCAAGATTGCCTGCATGCCTACTTCCCTCCCATTTCTCCCTTTCTCCTCTCCCCCATCTCTCCAATCTGATTGCTAGTGGTTTATAGGAAAGAAAGCTTCTTATAATACACTGACTTGTGTTAACCTACTTCTTTCCCAGACACTCTCTTACATATATCAGCAGATTTTAGAAAACATCTGGGTATCTTATGCCCTTAGAAGTCAGTGAACTCCAATCAGGTGTAGTAACCTGGTTGCCTGGATGATCTTGGAGGTGAGATTATAATGACACAAATAATTCCCAGACATTATAGGGTGGACTTACACTGTGAGCAGAATCAGAGAAAAAAATATACCTGAAGCCTTCTGGATACTGTTGTCACTGCTTCTCCAGAGGAGGGGAAGCAGCAAGCCTGGGGTGACAGGGCTGAGCAGGAAGGGACAGGAGATGTAAGACCTTAGGAGGATGATGAAGGATTAGAAATGCTGCAAAGTTAAAACATCTCTGCATGGTTCTTTCGGTGGGGCCATGCATTGTCCTGTCTCTGCTTTACTGCACCCTAAGGGAGATGAAGGCCAACGTGCAGGTAGCACAAGCCTTAATACAAGATCTGTGGTTGTGCTGCTGTAATTTTCACTAGAATAACCAATTCATTTAATAAATAATACCTTAATTTTCTGACAAAGCCTGGTCACCCTGAAAGTGAAGCACTATTCAGTTTGTTAGCAGCACGTAAATGGCGTGATCATCCATGGAGTAACAGGTGGGAAAGGGCAAAGATGCATTTGTCACTTTACCAGCAGATGCCAATTTGTCATAAAATTTTCATTGAAGAAAAGCAACTGGCTATTCATAGTATGGGTCATGCAATTCCCATTTGTCAAATTATTTGTTCTTTTGGGAATAATCAGAAAAACATGACTGTATGGCAAAGGCACTTGGCATGTCGCAATGGCACAAGTACTCTGAAATAGGACATACAGAAAATCCCAGACATGGGACTAGCATGACAGTTTGCTGGTGGAGCTCATTTTAGAGGTCCAGTTTACAGAATCTGTGCTGGAAGTTGACCTTAAAAGGAAAATCACACCGTGGCACTTATGTTTACCTTCTGACTCTGCTACAGATGTCCTTGGGTGACTGACTTGGTCCAGCAGAAGGCATGTGTGCTCACAGTGGAGCGTATGAAAATCCTCTGGCATCTCAGTAAATCACTGGGGCCTAGTCCTCCATTTATGTCTGTAAGTTACTTGAAAGGAGGTAGACTTGTGTTCTCTGAGCACACAGATCTTTGGCTAGACTGAGCTTTTACTCCCTGCTTCGCGCTTACACACAGGATTTCACTTGCTCATCTCGGTGGGTTGTCATGAGGGTTCCCATGTTGTTAATTTGCTGTGAGATGCTCAGGTCTGGTCTATGCTGCAAGTTTGTCTGCCACAGCCATCTGTTAGAGCTGTGGCTCTAGCTTAGCGAAGGCTAAGGCTATTGTTTTTATTTTAAGCGTTGGTAAATACAGGAAGATGCTGATACAAAGATAATTCAATAGTGTAAAGTTTACATGGCATTTTCATTACTGTGCCTCTTTTATCAAACAAATACATAATTTTTTTATTATACTTATAACTAGCATGTATACTGACACCCGTGGACACCTATTTTTGTCACTGTTATAGCAATAAGGGAAAATCAGTGTTGCTATAAACCGCGTCTCCACTGCGGGAAAAAATGGTTACCAGTGTAACTATCTGTGTATTTATGCCTGGGGCCAAGGATGCTTGGTTAATAGGAGTGCCTTGCACACATACCTTCCCAAACAGAAAAGAATCTCCATTGAATCTGCTGAACTCATTTTAGTAAAAGATATGTGCCTTAGATACTCAGCATAAAGTCATTGACTTATAACCCATCTTTTATATCTTCCAGAGGAAAAAAAATCATACTTGCATTTTGTCCTGCTGCTAACACTGCACTATTAATTATCAAACAAACACAAAATGAGCGCAGAATTTACTGCCTTTATGACAAAACTGGTTCTCTGGCAAGATCTAGTCCAAGTCAATAGGGTCCACTAAGTGGAAAATAAAATTATAATTCACAGTTGTTATCCATCTAGAGTGGAATAAGATCTGTTACATAAAATAGTGCCTCACAAATTAAGCATAACAGTGTTACTGCCTAGGTTTAAAATGTTGTACCTCTTCTTTGGCCTGTCTCTTTAGCTTTGCTGTGATGCATTGATCAAATGCTCGCTCAGTCAGCAGCACACTCGATTCTATGGGCACTGTAAATTTTCTTGTTGCAGAAAAGCTTAAAATTTTGTAGTGGTTAGCAAAACAAAGGACAATGAAAATTCGGTCTTTCTAAGTGACACTCTCCATCTTCATGACCACAATACAAATTTTGGTGGGCAAAAATCCCGGGGTTTAAAAACATACTCCTTATACAGTTGGTATGTCATTACATGAAGCATCACACCGGAAATCAAGCAATATTTGGTTTGGAAAAATATGAGTATTGGAGCATATACCACAGTGTATTCATGATTGTTCCATTCATAATCCAAATGGTGCTGGATTCAGCTGACTGAGCTATTGTCTATGACACAAAATAATATCCGTCTTTCATGTGACTCGTGGAAATACTTTCATGCTTAATTAAAGGATAATGTAATCCATAGCAAACCTTCTTGAGAAGGAGGGGCAAGAGCCTGACCATGCACGGTGAGGATGAGATGGGGGACCTGCAAGTGACTGCTCCTGGAGAAAGGCCTGTGGAGCAGAGGGAGGACGCAAGGAGAAGGAAGGTGTGTGAGAGGGTTCTGACTCTGAGGAGGAGACTGGGAACATCTGCAATGACAAAATCCCAGGGAGAAATTAGAGCAAGGTGACAGCTTTGGAGGGAGGTAGAGAAACAGCTCTGGGAAAGACTTTGGTGTAAAACAGGTCTCAGCAAGCAGAAGAAAAATGTTGACAGATGAAAGGCAAATAAGTGTAGTATTTGGTAAGTATTGGTTGTTGTTTCAGGTAGGAGAGGAGGTCAGGCCAGGTTGTTCTGCTAGACACTGAAAGAAGACAGAGCTTAGATGGGATGGAGAACCTAGACCAGAACTCAGTGTTTTCTGCAACCTGGGATCGTGTGAAAAAGAGATCAAAGATCTGCAAGAATTGAATAACTGTAGGACTATTCAAGTTCCAAATAGCAGAGAACCTTGTGCACAGCTGTCATGACCCCTGGAACAGGACTTGCGTTTTCGTAAATGCACTGACAGAGTCTCACGTGCTTAGACTGCTGAAATGCAATTATTAAATTAATAATACGGAGAATCCATTGAAGGTGGGAGGATAGTTGCTTCTAGATCAGACCTTCAGTGGATATAAATTAACGTAGTTCAGTTTGATATCTGACCCTACTTATCACAGTTCAGAATTGCACATGCATATACAGATTTTATTATAGCTCTTAGCTATGAGAAAATGCTTTATAAGTGTTGTCCTGAATATTATGAAGACTGTACTCAAAAACATACCAACAATGACTTGCTTTTATAACAGACTGCTATTAAATGCCATAAAAATTGTTATTAGTAGTTTATTGAACATTGTCAGCAATTTGCTGTATCTGTTCATTAAAAGTAGGTTGGATTACTAGAAAACGTGTAATAAAAATTGTTCACATTTTAATGTGTCTTTTTGTCCTCTCTTTAATATTTAAACTCATTCCTTCCTAGTTTTTTGTTCAATTCTACTCCATACGCATAACCGGCAGGTCAGCTGTGCCCTGCCAGTATCTGTTCATCCCCCGCATGCCATGTTCCCAGTGCTTCCAAATCTCTTAATTCAATCAGCATATCTAATTTTGATTGTCTTTAAACTCAGCTATTGGAAGCATATGATCACATGAATAATTTAGTAATTATGCAGAATCAATAGCATTATAACCTTCATCACCATGAGGAATATGGTAGGAATATGGCCAGAAGGCCAAAAGAGTTCTTC